GGGAGGAGGGAGGAGGGAGGAGGAGGGAGGAGGAGGGAGAAGGGAGAAAGGAGAAGGGATAAGGAAGAATGGAAAAGGGAGAACGAAGAAGGAAGAAGGAAAAAGGAAGAAGGAAGAAGGAAGAAGAAGAAGAAGAAGAAGAAGAAGAAGAAGAAGAAGGGATGGTGTAGCAGTAGATGGATGTTGATGATGACATAGGAGAGGCGGAGGAGGAGAGGATTCAAGAAGAAGAAGAAGAAGAAGAAGAAGAAGAAGAAGAAGAGGCAGTAGATGGAGGGGATGGTGTAGCAGTAGATGGAGGTGAGGGGACCGGTGGAGGTGGCTGGGAGTCAGCTGGGGAAGAGCTGGCAGGGGAAGGCGCCGGCAAGTGATTGGCCCTCCGCTCAGCTTTACACACTTGTCTGGCAGCTCGCAAGCAGGACGGCCCTTGAAACGATTTCACCCAGTTGACCTGACATTGCAGACAGTCTGTTACCAGTAGGTCTAAAGAGTCTGTTCTAGAAGTCTCTACCTAAGTCTACTGTGGGCCTAGAGTCTGTCTGTAAGTCTGTAGACTCTAGAAGGTCGTAGGCCCCTGTAGGCAGTCCAGTCAGCAGGTACCTGGGTAAGGACTGCACGTGGGGAAGGTTCTGGAGCATGTGGAGAGTTCCACGCGTTTGGGCCCAGAAGACCCACGCGCCCCGGGCGCACGCGTTCTGGAGAGGCCCACGCCCATGCGTTTTGGCCCAGGCCCACGCGTTTTGGGGCAGGGCCCATCTACCTCCAAAGAAGTATAAATAAACAGGCAGCGTCCAGCCATTCATTCATTCGCCTGTGTGCCATGCGGAAGAGCTGCCTTGGTATCTTGTGCGTGGAGGACTGCAGGTGCCCAGAGAAGAAGTGGGCTGTGAAGAAGACAGCGGCCATAGCGAACCAGTGAGAGAGAGACACCAGCGGCCATAGCTAGGAGGAGGAAGACGACGGCGGCCATAGCCGCCCAGCTGTAGCTGCCGACAGGGTGTACAGAGTGTGTGTGTCTGTGCAGCGTGGACATTCAGGGTGATCCTCGTACGTGCGTGCATCTGAGAGTGAGGGAGAGTGAGGCTGGTGGTAGAGACAGTGTTCGACGGCCATAGCCGCAAGTTGTACAGTTGTTCTGAACAAAGTTTAAGAGCAAGTTCGTTGTTGATTCTGAGTTCACGAGTTTGGTTTGCCATCGGTTCTCATGTATGCGTGTTGTGAGCAAGTCCAGAGTCGAGTCTGATTGCATTGGTATCGGAGCTGGTACCCGTTGTCCACGCCGGTGGAGCTGCAGTAAGCGAAGGAGAAGGAAGAAGCCGACATAGCCGGAGCTCGGCAGGGAGAGAGAGAGAGACAGCGAGAGAGAGAGAGAGAGGAAGAGAGAGAAGGCGGGACGGCAGCCATAGTTGCCAAGCTCAGAGAAGAAGACGACCAGCAAGAAGAAGAGATAGACGCAGAGAAAAGGAAGAAGAAAGTGACGAAGAAGGGAGATAAAGTCAGCCATAGCCGAGGTGAAGAAGACAAAGGTTTTGAGGAAGAAGGAGGAGGTCCACCATAGCCGGGAGGTTGAAAGGTTGACCAGGGGAGTTGACCAACGTTGACCAAGGGTTGACCAAGGGTGTTGACCGGGTGTTGACCGAAGTTAACCAGGGCATTGACCAGGAGCGTTGACCGGCGAGCTGACCAAGACCGTTGACCGGAGCGTCAACCCAGCTGGAGCGAGAAGATTACCGGTACCATCCTTCCAAGCCTTGGCCTATCCCTTACCTCGTGGGTGTGCACCTTCACCTTGGTACCTGTTGACGTCAAGTCTGTTAGGGTCAGTTAGTCATACCTTCCCTTCACTTTTGTCCAGGTCGGTAGGACTTTGTGATTGTGGTCATAGAACCGTAAGTCTAGCCCGAGTAGTGAATGAAGACCCCTCGGCAGAAGTTAACCTGTTCGGTCTACGTGTTGAGGCGCGGAATTGTTGTTGATTGTGCACCATCACCATGGTGGACCTCAGGTTTGGAACTAGCACCACCCSCTACAGCAAGGAGCAAGAGGAGAGAGCTGCCACCATTCTGCGAGAAAGGAAGGAGAGGATGGAGAAGAGGGAGTTGATCAAGCAGGCCAAGATGTTGGCCCTGCTGGAGGAGCAGGACGCAAAGAAGAGGCGGATGGAAGAGGAGATGGAGAAATGGAAGGAGGAGCAGGAGGAGAAGATGGCAGCCATTCAAGTGGAGGTGGAGAAAGAAGAAGAAGAAGAAGAAGAAAAACAGGTAGAAGAAGAAGTGGCATTGGTAAGGAGAAGAGGTGAAGCCAACACGAGTAGGGAAGACGAGATTGCAAAGATCGCATAGGAGTGGGCCACACATTTGGAGTTGGGGGAAGATAGGGAGGCCGAGTTGGCCATACCTCAAGAAGAGACGGAAGCGGCAAGGAGGCAGATTGAGACAGAAAGGGACCCGGTAAGGAGGAGGGCAAAGGAGGCCGAACAACAAATGGCATGGAGATGGCGGTTGTCCCAAGAGAGGGAAAGACGTTTAGAAGCAGCGAAGAAGGCAGAAAGGACCTAAAGGCGGCGGAAGCTAGGATGGGGAAGATCAGGGCCGAGACTAAGCTGGCAACGAAACTCGAGACCCTGATCCAAAGTGTAGAGTCTCTACTAATCGCACAGCGTGAGCAGATGCAGTATATACATAGTCAGGATATAAAGATAGATGCGATACGCGGTGGGTTCAAAGATTTCGCAAGCAATATGATGAAGTACTTGTTGGAACAGGTCCACATTGCGATTAGTAAGACCAAAGAGTTCTGCACTAGCGCCATTGAAGGCGCCAAGCTCACGGCTGCTAAGGAACAAGAGCTGGCCCCACCATGCCGTGGAAAAGTTAAGGTTCGTTTTC